GGGGGGAGGAAGCGGAAGTTGAAGCTGAGATATAGAGGACTTACCTAGTCAGGTACTGTACCTACTAGGTAGTTAATACTTATCTTAACTCCCTCTTGGCAACTTAGCCAACCTTTGACAATTCCGGTAACTGGTCCAGGAGGCTGAAAATCATCCGACTCCTCCAAAGTCCCCGCCCGAACATCATGATCCATTTAACAATGGTTTAGTTGGTTTCATCTCAATCCGGAGGAGTGCTTTTTACTCCCCCTTTACTAGCAGAAAACAGTAGTTGGTGGCCATGCCAAATCCTCGAACAATCCCGGGCCACCGGTCCGGGTTCGACTAGCGATCAAAGTACTGTCCCTTCTTTTCTCCTTCGGTCAATGCGGTCAATCTCGGAAGAGGCTGAGACTTGGGTGTCCAAAGACAAAGAGAAAAAATGATGGCGGCCTTAAAACGCGACCCAGCTCTCTAGTACTGTACATACTTACTCTGTACAGTTAAGTTGACCTTTTAGTTTGTTGTTGTTGTTGTTATTGTGACATGGATACCGTACCAGTGACAGAATATTTACCGAAGAGCTAGCAAACCAACCGACAAGATCATACACAAAACTCCAATAAAACCCAGTCGAAAGAATGAGGCGCAGAGAGAGGACATCATCAGCATCAAACTAATGCTACTCCGTAACAGTCCAGACTTGACGTTTTTTTTTTTTTTTTTTTTTCCACCTGCAGAGACGACCATCGATCATGGAGGGGTAAGCGGGCATGCAGTGTCACACACAAGAAAGCCTCATGCCACGTTTTTTTTTTTTTTTTTGAGCGGGTGGTGATCACATCTTGCAATAACAAAGACGGGCTGTGGCAGGCAGGAAAGGGGGGACCATGTGACGCTGATGCTGATGCTGATGCTGATGCTGAATGATTAGGCTATGGATTATGGGTTATGATGAAGAAGTGATGCGTTGATGAACGCATGGCTACATCCCTGTCTAACTAGCCTTCTCCCCTGCTGTCAGCCGAACGGATGTACAGTCTACTTAGATCCAACCATCAGATGGGATGGATGATGAGTGGTTATCTGTAGTACTAAGTTTATTTTGGTTTGGGTCTTAGGTACTTGTACTGTACTTTCCCGAGTGTTCCCCCCTCCTCTTCCTTTCCCCGTATATGACAGTTGTTGCCAAGCTTGGGGGGGGTAAGGAAGGGTAAGGGAGGGTTCCCCATTCACATGATGAAAGTACAGAGTTGATATGCATGAAATGAACTTCTCGCGAGGCAACAAATGGTCTGTTCTTGTTCAGAACCCTTAGACTAATGTAATTTTCGCCCAGGCAACCGATGGATACTTGGCGTGCTGGCGGGTGGGATGGTATCATCGTCTAGCGACATGCCTACTCATACTAGCTAGTGACTACCGGGGATGGGTCGACGGTGTGTTGATAAATCAATGATAAGGCGAGGGGGAGGGGGGCCCCCTTCATTCCTGCCATGCCATGCCATGCTAAAATGCCATGCGATGGGCGGCCATGGTCATTCCGTGCTTTAAGGGTCCGGTCCTTGCAGCAGTAGCAGCAGCCGCCGCCGCCGCCGCCGCATGAGTCTGGATGTGGATGTAGTGGAAGTGAGGTATGTGTGTGGTGGCACTGTGGCAGGATCGCTCGGCCGCTGGACCCTTTCTTTCGTTTCGGCCGCTGCCATGCTTTTCTTAGATTGAGAGGCGCGCGCGGCGCGGATCCTTTCAGATCACCCGATGGGAAGGAAGAGGGGGGAGGGGGGCAAGAGGATTCGGGAGCAAACTGGAACTTACTCTATTATCATAGTTTGTTACCCAAGGTGCAAAGGGAAGGTCGAAGGTCAAGGGGAGGGGAGTGGATGGAGGGAACTCCCTTCCACAGCGTGGCTCGCGATGTTGACAGGTTAGCAACTGGATTAGGCTCTGTGGTGTCATACACAGGGAGGAGGGGAACACTAGAGGCCAGACCAGACTACACCTAGGACCTAGTAGACAAGAAGCAAAAGTCAAACAAACCACATACAAAAGACACAATCAAGTCACGGGACGGTAAGTTTGTATACTCCTACACTTCAAATCCATTCCCAGAGCAGTGGATGCGATGTAATGACACTTTTCCTCACTCGCCCAAGGCAAAAAAGGGTCAACCCAGGCTAGCTTTCCACTTCCCCACTAACCCGGGTTGAGTAAAGCCCCGTCGGAGATATCCGATCCTTCAACCGAGAGCACCAATGAAAGATCTCAACCCATTCTCCGCATTTGATGAGAAACCCAGCGTCGAGGTCTTGTCCCGCTGTTCCGCTAGAGGAAAAGAAAATCGCCAAAAATTCTAAAAAATAAATTCAAACTACGGACGGTGCCACAAACCACCTCCGTCAAAAGCTCGGCAACTTCTTGGCACCCGACTCAATCTGGTTCAGCCGATCACCAACCACCAGACCCGTGGAGCTGTCTTTGCTTCGCTAAATAAGGACTGATCGGGTTAGCGGGCGTGGAGATTATCAGCATTCAGCGCCCCCCCTGCCAGCTTCCAATAGCGTGGGTCGGCCAACTTTATCTCTCCTTCCCTTGGGAAAAGAAGAACTTTGTGGGTGGGAAGATGGGGGGGACCCGAAACATCATTTCCGACGGAAGAGAGCGAGAGCTTGGTTGAGAGGAGGAGAGCTTTCGAGGAGCTATCCCAATTAGTTTAGACTCGATGCTATGCTCGTTCTGGGGATGTCTTTGCCTGGGGGTTGTTGTTGCTCGGGGCCTGTACAAAGGGAACAGGAGGGAGTAAAGAGGGTATGAAGTATGAAACATCGTCATCGGCGTCATGACTCGTGAAACCTCTTTGTCTACTCTGTCGCTGCTCTGGCTTTTCGCTCGCGGTTTCTCTTCCTTTCCTCTGTAACTACTGTAATGAATCTGAATTGAACTGAAAATGTATCTGTAACGCTTTCAAGTATTGTCTTAGAATGTCATTTCAATCACTCCGATCACTTGACGGGGGTGGATGTGCTGGCTGTCTGCCCGGTAACCTAACAGTGTTTACGGAGTATGAAGTTCGGTTTGGTTTTCGCCCCCAAACACCAAAGGATTCAAAGGAACGACAAATCAACCAAATGCCCGCCGGTCTTTCTTTCTTGGCCTAGATCCATGTCAGAACTCAGAACACTGATGGAATTCAGGAAAGAATATCCTCCCATTGCCCATCGTTGTCTGTGATCCTCTATCTTCGGGTCGTTAGTCATAGAGTAGGTGATCCAGCACTAACTGACTAGTTCCTAGTTTCTTGCTGTACACCGGGACATGGGGGTGGGTTTAAGGGTGGTCGATAGTTTTGCGGGACCCAGCCCGCCGGGCACGCACTTGGTCTGTTGGATCATCTCCCTGCTATGCTTCTCTGTCGCTCTGTCGCTCTTGCTCTCTCTCTCTCTCCCCACCCCGTACGACTAACTTGTGAAAGTGGTACTACAATAGGGACAAAATCTAAGATGAACCACCTCAGTGGAATGTGACTCACTCCCTCTTTTTCTTTTCTTTTTTTATTTCTTCTTCTCTGTATTCTTTGCATCGTTACTACGCGTTTTCTGCAGTTTGACTGTAGTTACTTTTCCAACCCAGCAATTTAAGCGAGTAGACTTCACCCATCTAGTAAAGGCCTCCCGTACACTCTGGTAGTAAGATTGTATGACTTGTACTGCGCTGCGGTACCACCGTTACTTTTTGTCGATCTCGCCTATTCTTCCCACGCTCATGCTCATGCTCATGTTCATGCTCCTGCTCGATCTAAAGCTGCAGGATTCAAGCAGCCAAGAGATGTTGAAACGAGAGACACATGGCAATGCACTGGGGGGGTGTCTGGTTCAGGCTACTTATTGGTTGAGGGACTCGTCAGCTAGATATTCAAGTTAGTCTCAATTGTTTTGAGGGTATAGATTCTAGATCTGGGATTACTTCTGCTGTTGGTGCGCATGCACCAAGCGAGATAAGAAAGTCCAAAGGGAACTGGAAGGTATCACACCAGATAAGTGCTATTCGCCCATCCATAGGTGCACCCAAATGCAAGGCCAATCCGCAGTACTATAGCACATATCCAGAGGGGGCGAACGACCACAGAACCCTCCAAGCACGACGAGCATCCTTTCCCCCCTCAAACCCCATCCACAGAACAAAAAGTCCATCAAGTTAGCTAACTATACCCATGAGCTAATATACAAGGATCCCCTCCCCCCGCCCAAACGAAACCCAACCAAAAAAAAAAAAAAAAAAAAAAAAAAGGGGACTGTGGCGTAAGCTGCAGCGTTGCACGGATGATGTACATCGCTTCTTCACGTACTGTACAGTACTTCCCGCTGGTTGCGAGATCGAAACAACCTGGTGTTACATACGTTATCGTTAGTGGACTAATTGCTCTAGGGGGCTCGCTTAGCGTTTGCTTATGGGGTTTCTAATTTGCTTTGCCCCATACCACTACTACCTGGTACCTAGCTGGACGTGAGGATGTATGTCTTATATCTGATGTCCTATCAGGGTTGAGGCGGGGGTTTCCGGATTAGGGTATGGGTCTTATATCTTGCATTACTTAAATCCAGGTTCGACGTTGTGCATTGTATGTACTGTACTGTGCTGTGATGAATATTGGTAGTGTAAGGAGATGGGGTTGTGGCTAGCTAAGATGTGCCTTTTTTTTTCCCCTTTCCTTTTTCTTTTCCCCTTTTTGGGGCTGCGGATGAAGTTGGGGGCAAATGGAGTGGTAGGTTCTAGAATAGAATGACGGCTTGGCTAATGGTTTTTAATGCTGATGCGAGAGTGAGTGGTTGGCCTTGGTGACAAAGAATGGTGTTGGAGCTGTGTTTAGGGTTGGTGAGAGGTGGCAATCAGGTTGCGGTTTGGGGGGCGGAATGTGTTGAGTTGCTCGGAGTGTATTCTGTTTGATGCTTGTGATTGTGGCTGTACTTGTTGGTTGGCGAGCTTCGAGAAGCAGATGAAATCGAGGGTACCTGGTTGTATAAACGGGTGTGTGCGATGGTTGGAGTGTTGAAGTACACACTTTGTACCGTGGACCGTACAAGTCGTATGTCGGTTTAGATGAGAGAGAGCTCCAGCTGGAGATTCTTCTCTCCAGAAGATCCGTCTATCCTCCTGCCGTGGCGATCCTTGATTCTCTCGTCGGAAGCTTTCGCTTTGGGTTATCTCGCTTCTTGCTATACCGTCAACCCGAGAGCAATGTGGCCATCCAATCAGACAAAGGGTATTCGAAACATTCAATATATCGATTACCGCGGTCACTCCCAGCGTAAAAAAGATATCCCATTGTTTCAAAGCATCCGTTCATTTAGTCGGTGTTCAACCAGTTCAAGCACCAATATCAAGCCCATTTGTACCTCCATAGTTAGCATTCGATCACTTCCGATAGCCCTTCAAGCATGCCGAAAGTGGAACATAGTGATGGTATCTGAATCGTTTGGTCCATAGGTCCAACTTTGCTTTGCCCAGAAAGAAATAAGAAGAGTGCAGAAGTTGGTGATAAGAAACATTCGCTCTGCGCGGATCTTGAAGAAGTTTGGGATGTACCAAAAGCCGAATGTGGATGCTCTGGGAGTCCAATGAATCCAACTTCAATAGACAGTCTGATAGCACTTAAATAGTTTGTTCTCATCCGATCAGAATTATTCCTCGATCTTGCCTCTATCGTCCCTCCCCACTGTCAATACTGTCAACGTCATTGGCATGAATGCTGCAGTCGCGCTTCTGGCTCGTCGTCGTAGGTGTCGGTGCTGTACACTTAGACAACAATGCCAAAACATTATCAGTCCTGATCAAGAATTACCCACGAGTTTTGTGTCTAGGTTCACGAGGAAGAGGACTGGTGGTGGAAATAAATTCGCTTGCAAATGTTCTCAACGCGCAGGATAGAAATATGCTCTCCGAGAACATAGTACTTGAGAGTTCTCGCATGATGTGTGGTATGTGGGCTCGTGTTGGGATGGATGTACCGTACCGTCTGAATTCGCAGATGTGGTGAATAGGAGGGGGCATGTTTGCAGGTGAAGGATTTCGCGGTCCGCTATGCCAATCATTCCCGGAGTTGCGAATCGAGCATCCGTGGTAATCACAAGTCCCTGGAACCTGCCTATTGGGTTGGAGAGCTGATTTTATGATCTTATGAGATCGGCTGATCAGGGCTGGGGTGATGAAACCAATGATCCAACTGCTGTGGAAAGGTTGTGAGCAAGCCTTGAGAACTATATAGCACAGACAAGGCACGACTGGGGACCCGGCCCAAGCTCTGAAATATGGACATCACTGCCTTGACATATTTGCACGGTGCAGTACAAGGATAAATCAGATACACTAGATGTTGCGGCGTAGGCATTCTTCTTTGAGTTTCTTGATTCATATGCACATAGATAAGCATGAGAATACTTATCTGGGATTAGGTTTAAGATGAGTTTCTTGCATACTAACTTCTTAGACTGGTCACAAAGCATCCTTACTACCACTGTGGTGGAATACAAGATCAATTGAAGTGGCGCAGGAAACTGTTGGACATGAGCCAGAATTCAACTAAGCGTACCCAGTGTCTTCTGCCTCATCAAGGCTTGCCACGCTATGTGCATCGTGGAGATTCGGCCAATCGCTTGATACTTGGTTATAGCCACGATTGATGTTTCAGGCTATAATTGGATCGTCTTCCCCTTCTTGGATTCCTAGATCCTTTTATGCAGTTTGCAGATTGTTTCGTGGTTGGCGCGATAACTTCATTGACAGGCATAGTGTTGGATGACATAGCAAATCAAAGACAGTCGACTCTTAGCATGATTGTCCAAATAATGCACCACATGTCACACACTGTTGTTGGTAGAAGTGAATAATTCACTCATCAGCTTAACATCCTTCCATGGTTCTAACACGAGTCTTCCCTCGGTGTCAACATCGCGGATTGTGGTCAGAGACCTCGGAACGCACCGACCGTCACAAGCAATGACGAACCCGGTATGCCTACGGGCAATGGGCATTGGCGCCGAAGACGCTGTGTAAACTGAGAACAACCAGCCCACCGAGTCACGGGTATGGTGCACACTCTACAGCACATACAGGAGGGCCACGAACCGACCACGAATGGCCACGGAGCCGGCACTATCTCATATGTTTTGCCAGTGATATGCGTCGACTTCTGATTATTGAGTGCATCCGGGGGTTATACGGCGTACCTATTGAGTTTTTGGCTGCAACGAAGCACCCTCATAGCTTGCCACATTAACCGAGCTGAGTTTCAGCTCCTTAGGTCAATAGAGATTGAGTTGAATTGAATTGGAGCATCGTCCGTCACAGAATCATGTCAGCACTCTGCAGAAGAAACGAATTGGGACTTATACGTCCAGTACCCCATACTTGTGACCCGCAATTCTCGAATTATCAAGCTTGAGTGAACATCTCCCGTGCTAAGCCGAGGGATTCGAGACAATGAGGCACTCTGCAACTGAATTCCGCCCCGTTATTGAGTAATCCGCCTTTATGGCATCAGGAGTGCCAGTGATGGCTGAGCCGTGCGTCCGTAATGCACCAGAGGTGAAGGATAGATCACGCAGTTCAAGCAAAGTATCCCAATATGACGATATGTCACCAGCTAAAAAGACGATCAGAAGCATGTACCCGAGTAAAAGTATAGTCGATCAGTATCAGGCAAGTAGGTTGGGAAAGGAAGTGAAGCCTACTAGTCGAGTAGGGAGGTCAGGGAGTCATAATCTCTTTGAATGTGAGAGCAGCGCATCCGTCAAACAAGACTTGAAATGGGTCGAAAAGCGTCTTCGCCAGTATGCTCGAGAGTAATCGACATCGCTAGTGAGCTAGTTAGTGATATTGTGCGCTGGCTCTCAGCATGAGTGGGTGTCGACGCTAGAGATTTCGAATTATAAACCAGACTGACTAGTTTTCAATCGACCGGGATGGACAAAGAACGGGTGAGATGGATGAGTGAGAAAGTTACCGTGTCTGCCACAAAAACACCCCCAGCTTACAACCACGGGTCGCTTGGCTCATTCCTTCGCACTCCCACATAGCATGCAATAAAAAGAGATGCTACAACCCCACAAGACTCGAGATTTCATTCCCCCCTCCCTTGATGGCAGCACAGCAAACATCCTGATAGATTAACTACCAGTCGGGATGACTCAATCCAGCCAATCCGACAAACCCGGAGCAAACCGACAGGGATCTGTAGCCTAGTGAGCTTTTAGCACGAGAACTACGGAGACGGAGCCTTCCACCATCCTGTCATGTATGCTTAGTAGCTGGGGAATGGAGACTCGGAGGAGTGACCTACTAATGCCGAGAGGATCTAGAAAAGGGGGTGAATCACCACAACTTACAGCAATGGGCTCAAGTGTCATGAGACAGCCCCTATTAGAGATGTGATCTGATCAGAACTCCACTCATTGCTGAGGCAGTCACCGTCTCAATCACCTCTTCCCTGATCCGTTGTAACACTTGGAGACTAGGCAAAAGTACGTACTTCATCCCCATTAACACAGACATCTATAGATGCTATAGATAGAGAGCTGAGCCCCATCGACCTGTCATATCACATCACATCACATCATAGCCAGGCAAGATGTATACAAAGTTCGCGTGGCTGAAAGTCCGACGAGGCTTTGAGATGGCCATTGGCAGGATGAATAGGCGCTACTATATTGGCGTTCAGCCATCCTTTGCTGGCGCAGTCAATGTGTGTTCTAGACCCTCAGCCTTAAAATGTCGCATGGGCTAGTGTTTAGGATGCGAGAGATTGTCAAAGACAATCGGAACAAGCCAAGATGGCTGTCAAACGAAAAGAGTGTCGAGTAAGGAGACAACTGTCTGGTCTTGATAGCTAATATGGATAGTAGCATGAGCCAGAACCATAATGGCTGGCTTAGTGTGCGCGCCACGCGCAGCCATAGAGCTGAACCTGGCATTCGCGACGCGATCAGCCCGCTTCCCACGCCCGCTCAAAGCCCGCCCAGGCGCAGCGCATGCGCGTCAATCTGAGGCCCTTGGAAAGTATGCCTGCCAGCAACAAACCAAATAACATTCACAATCACAAGAACACCGGTCAGTACCACCGAGTTATAGTTCATAGACTGCAGCGTGACAGGTAGGTGCGGGGGCATGCAGTTCAAGGCAATTTGGAAAAATAGCCAGATCACCGAGAAGACATTGCAGATATAACCGAACCATGAGAGGTCCAAATATCGCTTGGGAAGGTATGACCGACCTCGTAAGAGAAGCAGCCCTTGGGGGATGATGTATGTCAAGTTAAGAAAGAGCACGGCGGCATTAATGATCGAGTTGAATGCCGTGGTAGATGCGAGATAGAGAAGGCCGTAGATGGAGCAGAACCCGAAGGAAGCAAGCGTAGTGCGCACGGGGAAGTCAAGTCTCGGGCTGATTTTGGTAAAATATTCTGGAAAAGGTGTGCCGCCCTAGGGAGACGATCAGCACTTGTTGGTTCGAAACTGTGCTCGTATCCATGCTGCATGTACTTACATCGCGAGCCAGTGCCCAGGCAATCCGACCAGAGGTCACCCACTGCGGTGGGATACATGCTTCCCTGAATTAGCTCTCGATCAAAGTATACTGAGGGGAATCGGTAGCATCTCATACAAACATAAATTGCCCAAAGCAAAATGAGTAGACCGAGGGTGGCGTTTCGACTTCCAGTCCTATTGATGAAGGTCAGAGCGCCCGCTAAAAAAGACCCAGTAGCAGACTGACACTTGATACACCAATTCGAGACTGGGGAGTGAAGAGTCTCGGATGGCTTCATAATCATGGGCAAAGTACAGAAGGACCACAATCATCGTAAGACTGGTTACGATACCGATGACTTCTGTCATAATCATGATTTGCGGGACACGTCGACCTGGTCGTGGTATCTCCTCAGAGATGTGTATGGCTGTCAAAGTTAACAATAGGCTCGGTACCACATCGGTCAAAGTTGCTGTTCTTACCGCCGTCTGCGGAAGCAAATGCATACATGGCATTGCTGATAGCAAGCAACCAGGCCGCACCACTGTTCCATCCGCTATTTGCCTGATTGGATGCAACTGCAAATGACTTACCCTGTACGTGGTCGTGCATTGCTAGAGCGGTGATGAGATAAACAAGGTACCCGGCCAAGGTTAGAGAGAGCGTCAACTGCGTCACCCATGACACCTTTGTCGGTGAGACAAACAGCGGGATTACTGGTGAGATCTTAGCATGACACAATCTGAGAAAGAAGTAACAGGACTTACAGGTCGAAACTGCGATTGCAAGGAAGATCAAGTAAGTACGCCATTGAGTTGCCTCATAACCCGGGATATAGTAAGACACTATTCCCTGGAGGAAAATCGCGCCCAGTGAGATACCTGAGCATCTGAAGGAGGATCAGTACAGCTCACAATACTGGAAGGCAAGCATCATACGTCGCCGACCACCAGGCTAACACTGAGAGCCAGCCCACGATGTAAGCGTTATACTTTCGGGTACTCTTCGAACTGAGAATGTAACAGAAGTGGTATTGACCTCCGCTAGACTGTTATAGAGTTAGCAATAGCTCGATACAAGCTTAAGTTTTCTCCTTACGGGAAATGCTGAGGCCAATTCAGCAAGTCCCAGTGTGATGACAAGCTGAATCGCCCACCCAAGCACTAGGCAAACGATACAGCCTAGCACACCGACATAGCTCAGGTTTTGCCCAAAATTGCTCTAGTCCATCGAGGTATAGTGTCAGCAGAATCACCGTTCGGAGTACCCGAAAGTACGCACAAGATAACCGATCCATGAGTTGGTGATCGAAAACCCCAGGCCTAATGCAGAGATCCAGTTGAACTGCCTGGGCATGACTGCCTCATGGCCATTTGCTCGGAGGACTGCATCATCTTCATCTTCAAGTAATGTTTCTTCCACTGTGCCGTCTGTCACGTCTGCTGGCAACTGTTTGCCATTCGGGGCTTTCTCCACTGTTCTGTTCATTTCCATAGTCTGGGCAGCTAGCAAGCTTAAGATAGTGATGTGATGGTGGGCAAGAAGTCTTGAGTATCCCTCCGATGAGGGATACTTGGGCGCTTATATCCCATCTCTTTCCTCTGACCCTTGCTTGGACAACAAAGAGAGAAGGCTAAGCAATCACACAGTCAATGCTCCTTCCTCGTGAGATCTTAATTGACACAGGTGTGGTTCTTCTCAAGGGAGTTAGGTAAGATTAGCTAAATAATGGAATTCGCCTTCCCGTCCACCGGAATGTTCAGGATAAGGTTGCACAGGCGCTTGGTAGGCGGATTCGACAGCCACGGGTAGGCCAATCAAAACCAGCAATATCCACACTGAGAACGATACATTTCAGAGGCAAGGGAGTCGAGAATATAGCAGTCCGGGCTGATCACGTCGACTAATTTGCGATGCTGTTGGTTTTGTTCCGTAAAGCGGCTCGAGCGCCAGCAAGGAGTGATTTTGACCACTTGAATAAATCAATGTTTCCTAGTAGAGCCATGCATATCCATAAAGCCACTTTTTCGCGTGTGCTGCTAGATGCATTGTGGCGGGGGGTGGTTCGAAAGGTACCAGTAAGATACTGGATCCTAACTGGACCGATTGTGTGTGATTCTGTCAAGCCATGGAAGGGAAGCGAGCAGCCTCTGGAAAAAGAACACTGTGATTCTATGAAGCAGGTCTTGGGCTGCGAAGGAGTCTGTCTTGGCAATGTATTGCCAGTGATAGCCTGGTCCTAACAAGGAGTCAGTTCGGGTCACTTAGTCCTTACTAGAGAACGGTACTTTTGCATCACATATCTGATTTCTCTCTTTCCCTCGGGGTCTATCACCTGGTATTTCTCACTTTTGACCATATTTGACTCAACTGGTTGCCTTCGGAGCAAGGGAAGCTCTTCGTCCTTTTCCAGCTCATGCAGTATGTAAACCATCATCGTTATCGGCCTCGAGACTTGCCACCTTTGACAGGGAAAAGTCTTGGGGATACTCCCTATAACCCTGCCTTCAGCTTGTGCTTGGTCGAGTTCCGATCAGCCGATACTACCTTCTGACCTCACGGGTGTTCATCTGGATTGCCATGAGGTCGTGCAAGGATTGACTGGGTGCAGGCATTGAGAATCGGACTGTTGGGCAGAAAAAGCACATCTTGAGATATGAGCTCAGGAGAATGACATCAGACAGAAGGCAGAGATGGAATGGAAGGCTTGAAGAAGCATACACGACATGTGTTGTGCGCTTAGCCATCCTACTTGAAAATGGCAGGGTCAGACAATGACTATGGTACAAGATGATTGTGAGAATCGACTTGGAACTTGACGTTTGAATTAATGAATTGATGAAGCTGATCTGCCTTACTCAAACAGGAAGGAAGGTGGGGTTTAGCGCTTGGGCTGTTTGTTGACGCCAGTCTTTCGGCATTGAAAGTCACTTTATGCTCAGGAACCTTCAGGCAGGGTACTTGCATTTCCGGGGCTACTTAGCACCCACTGCAGGAATCTAGCTTACTTCGGTTCGAACTTTGATTCTACTATCGTCAACTAAGAACTTCACGTCGAGTACACCCGCACAGTCAAACCAAGTCAAGCCTCCCAGGTACAGTATCATGCTGGTACCATGTTTTCTCGGCCAAAAAACCTTCAATGTTGTACAGCGACATGAATATTGCCTAACTCTCAGCTACCATTGAGGATGCCTTGACCATTTAGGCTGCGGGAAATGATGACACCTTTATGCGACTTAGGAAAGACACCCCGTTCGCACCAGTTCACTTTCTAGCAGCGGAAGCATCGCCTTGTTGAGCTTGAAATGGCGAGCGATGGTGCCTGGAGTAATACTTCTTTGCTGCTCTATGCAGACACCTTACACCTTGAGAGCTTAGCTCCGCTCGATGACCACAGACCTGTATATCACCAGCCCGGCGCTCTCAACAACATGGGTTCAGCTACCTTGGCGGATTGACAACAAATTGGAAAT